GTGGTCTCAGTCACAGAGACACGCTACCGAAAAATGTTTCCCGGGCACACCCAGCCTTGATAGCTTCATAGCAAGTCCGAGTGCAGAGCAGAAAGAAACCATTTAAATGTGTTTTTCTCTCCTCGCACAATCAAAAATTCATTTCCTGTCGCAAATCAAGAGGCAACTGTGTGCCAAAAGAGAGAAAATAAAAACGTGCTTGAGCATCATTGGACACACTGGGATATTTTTTTAAATGATAATTATTCAGTAATTGTTAATAGTAAATTTAAAAAAATCCAAGATTAGAGAATTGACTCAAAAAGGACTTGTGAAACGAGTGGCAGCCATTCAAAACGCCTCATTAGTTGTTGTCGAGTGTGTTCGAGTCAGTTTGCCAGAAGATTGCCTCTCGGTGCCGTTTAAGGAACAAATGTGCTGAGTGGATCCGAACACAACTCCGGGCAGGATCTGAAGCCGGTGTGAGAGTCTTGATATCTGAAGGCAAACAGCCTGCTCTGTATTCGGGTCGGGCCTTGCAGCCATGGCTACAAAGGCTCAAGAGGTCCTTGATGATGGAGTTAATTCCCACTCCTTCACTCCACTGCTGAGAAATCAGCTAATTCCCCATCCGCCCCGAACGGTCACTTTCACTACCGTCTGTGCACAAGTAGGACCGAATATTAATCCACAGATAAAGCCTGAGGAATAATGGAGACAAAAGACCAGGTAGCAATATTCATTAGTCACTGCATCGTCTTATAAGACGATGGCTTCCAAAAAGTTGTTAGTTTCCAGTATTGCATCTTAAACTGCTACCAGCCGTCATCATTCGCCGGAAAGCAAAGGTAATTCAAGCTCCCGTTGTTCATTAGGTTTGCAAAACATGTCCAGAAGCAGAGCCACGTCATCTGAAACTCTCGTCTTATGTTATTTGTCAAAAAATAAATAAATACAAATTGTCGAGTTTGACAAATTTCAACAAGAAGTTGGTCTCCCCAGGATGACCCTTAGACCTTCCAGATTATCAGACCGGTCGATGTAAGAGCTTCGGACCCAAACATGATGAAGAGGCAAGACGCACGTCTTAATGGAGACAACCAGAGGGGTTCATCAGTGAGTGAGCTCTCCTTCAGAGGATCCGACTGCTTTCTGATTAATAACCGAAGCACATTCCCCTCCAATCACGTTCAACCGAGTTCACCGTAAATGCATGCAAATTAGGGAGGATGATTATTAAGTTTCATATAGACCCAGGGGTCTCAGACTCGCGGCCCGGGGGCCAAGTGCGGCCCGCAGGACAATATTTTGTGGCCCGCACCTTAATATGAAAGTATAATATTAGTGTGGCCCGCGGAGAAAGTGGACTTCCGAGGGGCCAATCAGCCAGCTCCCGCGCGCCGTACCTTGTCGGGCTAGGCTAAGCTACACCAGCTTCGTGCACTTCACGCTTGCAACAACAGCACGGCGTGTGATGAACAGCCAGACAGCAGTCGCCTTTGCGCTTGCCATCTATCGTACTTTCTACCACAAATGTCATGATCGAGCGCAAAAAGAACGGCGACTGTTAGCGGGCTGTTTATCGTCTATGCTGCTGTTACAGATAGAAGCGTGTGACAGAGCACCTGTAGCTGCCATGACATCAGCTACCGGAGCTCAGTGAGCTCCCGACCGGCGCCTCTCGCTCTGGCTCGAGAGCGCGGCAGAGCGCGCTCCCAGTGAAGGCGCGCTCTGTCACAAAGCGGAAATTACGTGTTTGCGTTAAGACGTTCTCTGGGCGCAATTAGCTAGCTAAATACTTGTTTGAAACGTGAAACAAGAGCGCCACTGAGCGGAATCAATTAGATTTTGTCATACCCCAGTCATGTCTTTATCAAAGCCTGCAGTGAAGAGAAAGGTTGGTGACGAGCACAGACAATTTCAAGAAAAGTGGGAGATGCAGTATTTCTTTGTTGAGCACAGGGGCATCCCCACATGTCTTATTTGCACAGAGAAAGTTGCAGTGCACAAAAAGAATACAACGTTAAACGCCATTATTCAACTAAACATGCTGAGGAATGTGCAAAATACCAGGGGGATGAGAGAGCCAAGCGGGTTGCCAGTCTTAAAGCATGTCTACTGAGGCAACAAGATTTCTTCAAGAAAGCAACCAAAGAGAATATTGCAGCAGTCGAAGCTAGCTACATGGTTAGTGAGATGATTGCTAAGGCAGGGAAACCATTCACAGAAGGCGAGTTTATTTAAAAAGTGCATATTACAGGCTGCAAGTATTGTCTGTCCGGAAAAGAAAAGTCAGTTTAGCAACATGAGCCTTTCTGCCAACACTGTGGCAGAGCGCATTTCTGACCTGTCAAGTGACATTTATCATCAACTGTGTGAGAAAGCAAAATGTTTTTGATGCATACTCAGTCGCTCTTGACGAGCACAGACATAACAGACACTGCTCAGCTCACAATTTATGTCCGTGGTGTTGATAGCAATTTTGAAGTGACAGAGGAGCTGCTCACAGTAATTCCAATGCATGGCCAGACCACCGCTATTGAGATATTTCGTCAGCTTTGTGATGCCATTGAGAATGCCGGTTTGTCATGGAAGAAGTTTGTTGGAATAACAACTGACGGCGCGCCATCAATGACAGGGAGGAAAAATGGACTGGTGGCACTTGTTCAAAGAAAACTGGAAGAGGAGGGTGTAGAGGAGGCCATTGCTCTGCACTGCATTATCCATCAGCAGGCCCTTTGCAGCAAATGCCTGAGGTGTGACAATGTGATGTCTGTTGTTGTGAATTGCGTCAACCAAATCAGATCCAGGGGCTTAAAGCACAGGAGGTTCCGTGCTTTTTTAGAGGAAATGGAGTCAGAATATGAAGATGTGCTCTATTTCACCGAGGTACGTTGGCTCAGTAGGGGAAATGTCTTGAAAAGATTTTTTGAGTTGAGAGAAGAAGTAAAAGCCTTCATGGAGAAGGATGGGAAGGCTGTTCCTGAGTTGAGATCACAAATGGCTCATGGACTTAGCTTTTCTTGTTGACATCACACATGAGCTGAATGTACTGAACAAGAAGTTACAAGGCCAGGGGCAGCTCGTCAGCGCTGCCTATGACAACGTGAGAGCATTCTCCACAAAACTTGTGTTATGGAAAGCCCAGCTCTCTCATACAAACCTTTGCCATTTCCCAGCATGCAAGGCACTTGTGGATGCAGGCACACCATTCAGTGGTGAGAAATATGTTGATGCTATTTTGAAGCTACAGAAGGAATTTGATCACAGATTTGCAGACTTCAAGACGCACAGAGCCACTTTTCAAATTTTTGCGGACCCCTTTACCTTTGATGTGCAAGATGCCCCACCTATGCTTCAAATGGAGCTCATTGACCTGCAATGCAACTCTGACCTCAAAGCCAAGTTCAGGGAGATGAGTGGAAAAGCAGACAAGCATGGGCAATTTTTGAGGGAATTGCCCCCCAACTTCCCTGAGCTTTCCCGAATGTTCAAGCGGACTATGTGCCTTTTTGGCAGCACATATTTGTGTGAAAGTTCTTCTCCACCTTGAACTTCAATAAGTCCAAGTACAGGTCCAGACTTAGTGATGATCATCTTCAAGCCATACTGAGGGTCTCAACTGCTTCCTCTCTCAAGCCAAATGTGGTTCAGATTTGTGAGAGAAGCGCTGTCAAGTCTCTGGCAGCAAGGAGTAGGCAACAGAAGCCATGTTCAGAAGAACCGTTCATGATTTTCACTCAATGTTCCATTCACGTTCAGGACACTTCATGTTCAGAAGAAATCATTAAAACTGTTAATGACATTTGAGGACTTTTTTTAACTTGTTTTTTGTGGAATCCCTTATGCGGCCCACCCTCACCCAGACTCTGCCTCCAGCGGCCCCAGGTAAATTGAGTTTGAGACCCCTGATATAGACAGAATGGAGGCACGTCAACAGTATCAAGACTTGAATCTTATTAGTCAGTTGCCATTAACTGTATTTCTAAGTATGTAGTTTGAATCAGACAGATTATTTCCACTATTTGATGTCAAACAAAAACAAAAGACTTGAACCATTAAGCTGTTGATTCGCTGACCGAACATGCATCAAGATCAAATATTTTATCTAATTATGAGAATAGTCACAAAAACAAATTTCACCGTTTCCTCCGAGCCAACGAGGAATGAAAAATCAATCCTCTGATACCATCTGGAAGACGGCTAAAGTTCAAAACTTATTCCATGGCTGCGGTGTGAAATCCTCACATCACTGGTTGTCGTCTGATACCAATTCCCACGTATCTATTGGTTTCTGAAAACTTTAAGAAAAAATGAAATTTGGAACTTCAGGTTTCACATTTGTCATCATTAGATGTTTGTACAATTTTTATATCACTAACAAAGAGAGAAGTTTTGTTTTTTGTGTGTGAATACACCTTTTTAAGCAAGGTTTTGTGTGTGTGTGTGGTTTCAGAAACTGAGTCTGACAGGACAAAGCCCCTTTTCTACACAAAGTAGTGTTTTGAATTAAATATACTCTTACTTTTCTAGAGCTCCTGGCTACTCTACCCACCTCTGGTAGCATGCGATTACATACTATCAAATCATTTGCTATATTTATAAATCCATAAATTCTGTAGCAGTGACAGTATCAGAGTTTTCCTGTTATGTTAAAAACAAATTTTTTCAGCAGCCCGGTTTCACTGGAGAGTCAATTTATATCTCAGTTCCTCCATTGAGACAAAATCAAATTCACAACAATGCTTTTGTTTCTGGTAATCCCAGCGAGAACCCTGCATTTTAAATTTACAAACGGCGTGTCTGTAAACAAGACAATAAATAAGAGTTCACATTGATGTACTTCTTTTTTTTTTTATCTGCTGTATCACCAGATCGTTAAAAATCTATTATCACTCAATTGCAGCAAATTTATTCTGAGCATCAGCAACACATTAACTCAGCTCATCAGAACAGAAACCGATGGTGTCCTGGGGTACAGTTTGCTTCGTAAACAATAACATTCAAAATAAACACAGCGGTGTAGTACAAAACAGTGGCGTCTTTTTATTAGGAAAATTAGAAATGAAAATGACTTTCCTCCAGTGTTTCCTTTTACCACGCTGAGCAGCAAGTCAGGTGTAACAGCTATTCCAGCATTGAAAATGAGGAAAATCCACATACTGACATTTCAAGTCTCAAATTATGTGAAGGGAAAATTGATTGACATGGGAGGACAAGCAGATATTAAATTAAATTGGTAGCTACGTTTAAGATCACGAGAGAAGAAAGTAAATGAAATAAGTACCACATAAGGAAGCGAGACATGTACGCAAAACAAAAAGCATCACATAAAAACATGATCTGAGGTCTAGACAGTGCAGTTATACAAAAACACATCAGAAAGAAATGTTGCACATTAATATAAAATCAATACATCTAGACAGTCTAAGTTTGTTTAGAAAGTGGTCGCTAAAGTACCAGTCAGCTTTTAATCCATTCATAATTCTATTCTGAGAGAGCAGTTCTACAGAACCATTTGATATGTTCATTTACAGCAGGTCAGTTATTACATTATTAAAAATTAGTAAACAATTAAGCTGCCTAAATTCAAGATTGTTATCATTACAGCAAAACATGGACATTTCTGCCCCTAACTTGATCCACCGAGTTACAAATGCATCACAAATATCTGGTATGTAACAGAAAATCATCTTTTTGAACATTTAGGAATTCACATGATCAAATGAGATGGCATAATCTACACACAAAACTTGTCAATACTTTTAAAACTTTTGTCTCAGTAAGTTCTTTTTTTTTTTAAAGCATAAATTCAAAATACTTATTTTAATATGACTAATAACTCCAGTGTTATTACATCAATTATGTCATTTCAAGTTTTTGGGAAAAAAAAAATTAAAAAAACTTCTCAAAAGGGCAAATATCACTATTCCATCATTCTTTTCTTTTAGCATCAAATAAGCAAATCATATAAACCTTACCATGTGTAAAAATAGCGTGAAGTCTCCTTTAATACCTAAGCAACATCTTATGTAATGTTAGACAGGCGTAATGAGTTTAGGTCATGCCATTGATGCTGATTTTGACATCAGCATCAATTTACTGCAGTTAAATTTTATTGAGGAAAAAAAAAGTTAGGCAGCTAAGCTAACCTAACTTAGCTGGTAGGTTAAGTTGCAGAAACCCTATTTTAGTTTAAACATAAACTGATGGAATCTGATCTAGTCGGCAACCTTATAAAATAGTTTTAAATGTTCTGTTTACACTGCATTTTCTTCTCGTCAGTCAGAAAACTTAAACAAAACCTGTAGATCATATGATAAGAGAAATTTGATTCTGAATCAAATTAGGAGCCTAAAATTCAAAATTGCTAGACACAGGAAGAGTTGCATCTCTACTTTTAAATGCTTGGGTATGTTGCTTGTCTACTAGGTCTCCAACACATGGCTTCAAGGGAACATCTGACTTTGTTCTCTTAACTGGACAAATAGTTAAATCATTCCTTACTCTATGAATTTATATCAAAACTTAAGAGTTTTCCATTTCTACTATTACCTGAGATTGCTTTTGTGATATGCATCAATGCCAGAGTTTAACATTTTGAACACAATGTTGCCCCATACATATTTTGCCTTGACTTGGACAATGAAAATTTTAACAAAGCCATTCAGAGCTTAAACCTAATCATAAAAGTTGTAGAAAACATGATATGTGCCCTTAGGAAAAAGATCTGTTCACCCTCCCACATGATAAGTGCAAGTGTTCATTTGCCAAAATAGATTATGTGGAAAGGCAAAAATCCCATAATTATTAACATTGACTAAATTTGCCTTTGTGCCACAGAAACCAACTTGATCGTTAAAACTATATTTGTTGATAAAATGTAGCACAACTGTGTCCAGTCCACCCACAGCTAAAGCTACAATTGTAGTGTTTTGTGGTTAAATGAGGTTGAGATGGGTTTTGGAGGCTGAAGCAGAAAGTATCGGTAGTGGCAGCTCATGCCCTAAAACTCCAGCTTCTCTGGAAAGGCTGGAATGGTTTCTTGAGGTTGAAAAGCACGAGGTGAGGCTTGAGCCGCGGGGCTTTCTCAGGAATGACGGCAGCTTTACTTTCCTCAGTGGGAAATCGTTTTTGGTACACCTCTGGGTAAGACTTCTGGAACTGAAAGGGGAAGAAATGTAATTTGTCATCGAGTAGGATGTCAAAGAATCTTTGTAAATCACACCCAGAGTCTCGGCAGAATTTTGATTGTTCGTTGTAGTTGTTGATGATTTAACAGAAATTCAAAGACAAGATTTTCCTTTTCAGAGAATGCATTTTGCCTGGAGCAGAACAGAAACACTACTTTCTATCGGAAACAAACACTGGCTTAGAGTCTAATAAAGTGTATATGGTGTGTTTTATCAAGGTTCAGGACAAAATTGACTCACATTTTGAAGAAAGCATCCACAGAGGGCTGTGAACCCCGCTTGAAAAGTTGATTTTAACGTTTTCTTAATCTGTATCGATGTAGTCACCCCTGCAGTCAGCACTATCCATTTATTACCCTTATCGCCCTGGACAAATGTTAGCACCAGGGGTGAACAGAGCCAACTGGTCCTGTTGCACAAAATTTTCTGGAACTGAAAAATTCAGTCATCACTGAAAGGAAAGGTGTTGACCTTATTGGATATCTGAGGGGAAATGCCCTCTCCCTCCTGAACTCGATAAGAAATGACTTGCATGATAAAGGTAGAAAGATACAGAAAATAAAGAGAGATTCATAAACACGGTTCATGAATGACAGAGAACATTTTGCATTTTCCCCCCCTTAGGAATACTCTGTCAAATATGCAAATGCATTCAAGACATTTTCAACTATTTCTTCAATAGCTGTTGCATTTGATTGTATTAATGGTTATTACATAGATTACACCAATCAACTGCTCTACAGACTGATTGCAGTTATTAAAAGAAAGAAAAAAATTACGTCTCCCCAAGCGCCATGGCCGACCCACTAGAGGAAACACTGGCAGGAAAATGCATACAAATGATTTATTATACTCCCATTTGGCTTTATGATAGTTAAGGTCATCCAACAACAATCCAAATTACGTGCACACTTTCTTATTGCAGTTTCTCTTTATTATCGCTGGCTAGAGTTCAACTCTTGAGGATGGATCTCTAAAATGTCTTTGATATAGCATAAAGTTAATTAGGTCGGATTTTCTGCAGAAGACAGACCATGCAGTAATTTCCGTGATATGCATGTGGAGGAGTTCTACATCCTTCTAGCTTATTGTCTTGAGATTTATTTATTTTTTCTGTGTATGTTCATACCTGTTTGAGTCTTTTCCTCTTGTCCTTTGCAGGGAGTTCTTGGTCTGCGATCAGACCTTCCAGCAGCTGCTGCAGGGGGATCTGTGTTCCTATAACTTTCTGCTCCTCGCAGTCTACTCTCTTGATCTGTTTGCAGAAAGCCGGTGAGGCACTGAAATCCGTATCGGAGCCTGCATATTTGATCTGACGGAAGACAGAAAATGAAATATAAATGAAATAAAATTCTCTGCTAGTTTTTAATTGGACTATCAGAGGGTGCGGTTATGCTCGACAGCTGAAACAAAACGAGGCTCTATGTCTCATCTATTGGTTCATTTAATATTTTTTTTTAAAAAGTGCACATTAAAATTTTATACAGCGTGTCACCAAGACAAAGGATTTAATTCTCAAGACGCATTCAATTCAGTAATATTTTATGAATCCTAAAGGGAGATTAAATGATGGATGCAACTCATGGTATGGAATTTTTTGAGTTGCTGTTGGCAGAAAGAACCGCTGTAGCAGTCTTTGTTACAGTGATTCTAAAGACACCTCTGACTGCAGACAGTCTTCGGAAGACAAAAACAGAGCCATGAGTTAACTTTTGTTCTGACTCAATATAGCGACCCTATTATGAGTCTGTAATAAGCCTGAAGACGAGCCATCCTCTGAAGACCTCTGCACTGCGTAGTAGCTACTGGACCATGAATAATTACTGATACTCCGGTGTGCAATTAGGTTTAAAATGTTCTTGAGCTCCCTGACAAACAACAGGATGGTGCTCAGAGGCTTTCTGTCTCTTTTAATTAGCTCTACAAGCTGCCTCCAGGGACTTAGTTTGGTTTTACCTACTGAATCAAGCAATGTTATCTACGCTTCTAAATAACTTCCAGCGAAAAAAAAGAAGAAAATCATATGCAATACTTCATCCAGAGTGAGGTTTCAAAGCCCTACTATTCATCATCATTAATAGATAAAAGTCAAACATGAATGAATACAAATTGTCAATGCTCTGCTTTCTTGATTCCCTGTGCTCTTGGAATAGTATTGATGTGCAGAGGAATTGAACAAAACTCTTTAGAGGACCAAACTTTGTGACAATGCACCTGTTAAGGAGCAAATGAATGATACTTTAGCATAAAGTACTGTGTGCTGTGTTTACATGTTGCAGAAAGCAAACACTTTTCAGGCATGATGCAGGTTTTCATACCACACATATACCTTCATAATTACAACAACCTTCTCATATATGTAACTTTACCACTACCTGCTCCAACTCTGATTCCTATTCATAAACATTTTGAAAAAAAAATAACATACAGCCTAGATGCGTCTGAACGGATTAGAAAAAAACAAAAAAAAACAGATGGCCTTGAATTATTTGGAGTACATTTTGAGGAAAACAATAGGGCCTATTTTTCTGTAAAAATATGGGACATCACAGTTGAATATTTTATACTTGGAAACAGATTGATCAGTGGAACTACTATGAATTTACCGTATTTTCCGGACGAAAAGTCACAGTTTTTTTTCATAGTTTGGCCAGGGGTGTGACTTATACTCCTGAGCGACTTGTGTGTGGAAATTAACGCGTTATTATATCATATTGAATGTAATTTTCACACTACAACGTAAGAGGGCGCTCTAGGCCTGTTATTCTACCTTTGGAGTTAGCAGAGTTGTTTCCAAGCAACACAGAGGATGAAGATTTTATTGCGTTTAGTGATTTGGAGACATGGATGGTTTGGAAAACTTGTTAGCCTGTTATTTGTGCTAGTTTTCTGAATAATTCTTAATGTTATTAAGAGTTAATAATAAAATTAATAACTCTCTCAGTTCGTTGTTTGTCATGTAACGGTAGCATACCGTACAATTATTCAGCCTGTTGTTGCCTCTATTCTATTTTTATTGCCTTTCGAGATGATGTGTCTATTTTTGGTGTTGGATTTTATGAAATAAATTTCCCTCAAAACTGCAATTTATACTCCAGTGCGAGTTATATATGTATTTTTCTTTATTATTATGCATTTTATGGCTGGTGAGACTTTTACTCCGGAGCAACTTATAGTCTGGAAAATACGGTAATCAATTTTTACACCACTCTTTTTTAGCTCTGATTCACAACTCAATAACTGACTGAATCTAATCTAAATAGTAATAAAAAATACATGTTTTGCACTAAGTTTGTGTCTTCTGGTATGCAAATTGTAATAGAATTAATTGGGGAAAAAAAACCTCAGTGAGCTCAGTCAGATATTTAATGGAAAAACAACAACAAAAAAAATGCAGAACCCAGTGAATTGAAGTTGGCTCATAACTTCAGTTTCATGTTTCCGTTCGGTTTAAACATGACTAACCTGAGCTCTTTTCAAGTGTGACAGATGCTCCTCGACCTGGCAGCGCAGCTTGGCATTCACTTGGAAGATCGCGCTGTGGTGCTCCATCATGAAGGTCACCAGTTTGGTTGCAAGCAACTCGTCCAAGTCCATGTCATCGGGGGAGCCCAGGACGCAGTGAGAGAACATCTGCACCATCTGCACACGGATCACAGAGGAACATGAAATGGGCACCAACTTCATTATCAACACAATTACTGTAGCATATGGACCAACGAAATGAACGACCCATCTTGGGCAGCTATCCCTAAGATGAACAAGTTAGTTTCCTAACTGACAGCAAGATTGGATTTTTAATACAGGACATAACTCTATAAGTTCTGATATTGTCAGCAGCATAGAATACTGCCTGAAGCATATTGATGGCTGACATAGGTAAGTGCTTTCTCTGCGACTTGTTAGCTTAGCCTAATATTAATAATATCAAGCCTGTATGTATAATTTTGACCTAGGTTTGGACAATAAATCAATAACAATTTATATCGCAAAAGACATGCGATCAATATCAATAGATAAAACATCTGAAGGAAAATTAAATGTATGGAACATTCACTGGGCTGCAATCCAGAAACATACAGCATTCTGGGAACGTGTACTGCATTATCAATCAACAGTGAAAAAAAGCATCAAACAAATGACTAAAATTATAACAAAAATCTTGCCATGTGTGATAGAAGGCAAACTTTTGAATAGAACTGTAAAAATATAATACCTTGATGGGACTAGGTTCTCAAAAGGTCGGAATGAGAACTTGACTTACCGTTGCAAGCTTTTCATAAATATCACCACACATGTTCTGCAACACTGACTTGTGGAACATATTGCGAGCTCAGTGAAACAGAAAGTCTGTATGGTTATACATAGAGATTAAACTGAGGGAAGTTGTACCAGCGTGCGGGTACCAATAGTGTCATTCAGAGGAGGCAGGCGGGAATTGTGGCAGACGCGGGCCATGAGGCGCAGTAAAAGCTGGAGCCGTCTGCGGTTTGGTGGCGGCAGCAGCAGGCAGCTGTCTTGAAGAGCCTCGATGGCTTTATCCTGCTCCTGTAGCAGACCTGCGAACATGGAAAGAGACGAGTTCGGCTCTCTGAGGGGGGCGAAGACTGCATAAGGTATAGAAAGTGAACAATGTGAATAACTCACTGAGGATGTTGACGAAGACCTCGTAAAAATGGAACGTCAGCAAGGGCTCTTTTAGTCTCTGATAATAATCTGCTACGGTCCTCAGAACATCTCTCTCAAACCCTGGGTACAGCGGCTGTTTGGCGTCGTTGCCTTCAGGCCCTGGCGGAAAAAGTCCAAGAAAGGTTAGCAACATTTTATTTGAAAGTCATTTGTTTGATAAGACTGACATGACATGTGGCATAACACCTGTCATGAATGTGAAGGAGTACTTTTTGAATGTTGTCATGAATCGCTGCATTTCAAGTACCAACTTTGCACTGAAAGATACTTACAGTTTGCAAGGCATTTCATTGCTGAGATCACCCAATATGGCATGTCCTCTGGAAATGCAAAAATAGGGGTCTTTAATAACCATAAGAATAAATAAAACGGTGCATTTTAATCAAATGAAAAAAGAATCGTCCAGCATCATACCAGCTTTGTTTTCCAGTACAACTATGCCTGTTTTATTAACATTGAAGATATTGACAACAATGTCTTTCCCATTCACAGAGGCTGGGTTTAAAATTCCATCCAAAGTCTTCAGGCCCAGAACTCTCTGCAAACTAAAGGAACAACACTCTAAAGTTAGCATTAAAAAGCGAGACAACAAAAGAAACACAAACACGAATAACGCAAGTCATGTGAAATGAAAACATACTGTGTGATAGTCATCGATTTCCAGATGTGGTCCACTTGTTTGGAAGTTACTTCCCTCCTACGTATGAGCTTGCATTCATGAACATCTCCAATAGCAACACTGTGTCTTTTATTCCACAAGTCTGAAGTCTTGTAAATGAATCCGTAAAAAAGGGAAAAGAAGATTAACGCCAAGCGAGACAGCAATCCAGTAAATCAATCTGATGATGAAATATTTACACGACAGAGAGGACAGTAATGAATGCATTCTTTTAGAAATCCATTCAAATAAAAACAAAAGAGTCCCACTCCGTATTTGGCGGTGCCAAAACATCCAAAACAAGCAGAATTATTTATCTTTTTTTTTCTCTGTATGTACAGGAAATAAAAAGTCGAAGAAAGCATCCATCTCGATGAAGCCACAGAAAGGAAGGAAACGTTGGTGGCCTTTTCTCACCAGTACTGCAGATTTCTGAGGTGCAACATTTTCTTTCTGAGGCAGTTCCTCGAAGTCATCCCAGCGGATGAGCCTGGGCAGGTCGCTGTCGTCTCTCCATGACGGCCTTGTTGGAAGAGACTTGAGCGGAGACGTTGTGGGGAACCTGAAAGAGAAAGATGACAGCACCTAAACCGGGACGAAGGTAAAAACACAATAGTGTGAAGTTTGATTTCGGAAGCAAGACCCAGGGAAGAGCAAAACGATATTTGTATCAGATTAAAATCAAATCAGAAATACATTTCTGGTGATGTGGACAGTTTACCAAAATAAAATAAATGAATGAATGAATTATTGAGATGCACCTGTATGTACAGCACTATTAAGGAAGTAGTCGTCATACAAATCTTTTGTCTGCCAAGTGAAATTTCCCGCATTTTCAAAATCCCATGCCTTCGTTACCTGTACAGATGGCTGTTGTCTTCAAAGTCCTCTGTCCCATGGCGTCCTTTGACATCTTCAATGACATGGGCTTTAAAGAACTTCCTGAGCAGCTGCAGAGTCTGGTAACGTGTTACCTCGGGCCCAAAGTTGTAGTTGTTTCGGAGCAGCTCATGAAGGTAATCCACTGCCTCCGAACCGGTGAAAGTGCAGTCGTAGCAGCGAAAGTTCGCCCAGTGCCTTCGTAAGGGCATGCCTCCACGAAAAAGTTTAATGGTTTCATTCCACTGCATTAGAGAAACACAGAAGGTGTTTGTTCTTTTTAAAACAACAACAACAAAAAAAGAAAATCTGCTCAGATGTCTACAGAGTGGTTATTAGAAGTCAAACATCAAATATTTTCCCATAAGAAATTATTTTATAACAAGAAATTAGATTCGGTCGTTCCAGGAAGGCTTCGAGCGTTCAATTAGCAAATCTGAATTATTTTGCATTGGAAAAGTAGCTGATGGTTGCTATAGTTTCAATCACTATAGATGGCACCTCAGAAATACATTACAATGTAGTCAGAAATATTCCGTCATCTTCAAATGAAAACACCCCTTTTAAGTCTCTCTTGCTATTCAAACAAGTTCTTCACAGGACATGAAGATCAGCTATATAATCACAACATTTGCATATTTGAGTGTTTTAGTCCTTCAACTCCCAATGGAGTTAATTGAATGATTGGGAGAAAAGAACAAAGTCAATCAGATTCAGAGCAGACAGACTCAGCTCACCTCAGCAAGTGCTAAATGTTATAAAAGTATACAAATGAAGATAAATTAAAATTCTTAACACTGGCCTTGGGAAAAATTAACAGAATCGCTGAAAAAAAAAAAGCTATAAAAGTCGGTATCTGCTATACAGAAGGGAAAAACTACAGGAGAGGTCTCCTTTTTAAAAAGATAGAGAATTTCTGAGCAGATTCTATAATGCTTGAAATAAATAGTCCTGTTGAAATAATAGCAAAAGAACACAATTTTTCCAGATTCTGTTTCACAGTCTTTCTCCTGTGTTTAATGGGGTCACAGTCCCAACGCCAAGGACTTTTCAATAGACCTGCACAGCTAATATTGTTACTTGAGTGTTTCCCTACTCAGCAGTCACAGCGTCTGCTGCGTGGGAAGATTTTCCATTGCATGGGATGGAGAAATTGAATTACAATATATTTTTATCTTGGCATATTCCTCAGCCTTTAATATTGAACGACACAATACAATTACAATTAGAATCAATCCTCGTGGATTGCTCTGGTCAGATGTTGATATAAAACCAGCATGGGGCATAAATGGTTTTAATAAGGTTGTATTCCAGGGTCAAGTGAGTTACAACATACAATTTAATATGTTTTTAAAATGTGAACCAGGAATTTACTCTGAATTAAAAGTGAGTTTCTGTGATTTTTTTTATTTTTACATTTTGTCAAATCTGCCTGAATAAAGATTTAAAACTTCTGATCCAATGAGGTTACACATGCAGCATTTATATAAATGTATGCTCTGTTGTTCCATTAGTATTTTCATTGATACTTTAATTAAGCAGAAATGTTACACCAAGAAAGGTTACACTCAGACATGTTGGCAAATTTTAAGATGCTGTATATTTACTATTAATACTATGGCTGTACAGAAAACTTTTCAATGAAAGAACGAATGTAAGAAATCTCTCTACTTTCTTTTCATATACACTATTCTGTCTGGGCTGCATGCTTGCACAGTGGCCATATATCTATCTAGATCAAATTCTTGTATGTTGTATTAATAGTCCATCTTGGACTATTAAAAGCTTTATGCAAACTTTTAACCAAAAAAACACTGTTTGTTATCAGCAGTTACACTAGCGCAAAGTACTAAGTCACAATATGAGTACATTATGTATCATGGTTCTCTTTCAATGGCGATATTGATCGTTTAGGTGTCAATAAATTTAATTTTAATGTATAGTTTAGTTAGAGGTCAGGGGTGCAGAGTGGCCGTATTATAAAGAGATGCTAACAAAACATCTGACAATCACAAGGAAAAGACTTAGCCAATTATTATATTATTATTATTATACTTTATTCAACAGACTCGTGGTCCACAAGTTACACAACAACCAAGAACAGCCAAGAAACGTTGCCTTGAGTAACTGAAATTTACCAGCTTGAATCGCCTCTGTCACAATAGGCTTGTGTTTTCTAAAAGCGAAACTATAATACATGTAGATAAATGACCTTTTGGATGGAAACCTTGACCAGAAAATGCGTTTTGTTTAGCATGAACACGGTAAAGTTGAAGCTGACGGTTAATGTCAGCGGCGTCTTTCCCACCTCACGTCACCCAGACGAGCGAGAAACTCACCAGCTTCGTGGCCCGGTACGGCCCGGGTCCGACGACTTGGCCCTCCATGCCCTCACAGACACACGAGCGAAAACATGAAGCTACAAAGTGTTTAACAAAAAATTGTCCCAAAAACGGCGACAGGAAAGAGAGCCGGGGGCGACCTAAACAGAGGCGTTGCTGCCAACTTTGAATCTGGTGCGTCACTCGGATACGGCAACGTGACTGGACGGCGAACTCGTCACGTGACCTGCACGGTAATACCCGAAGATTTACGAGACAGACCGCTGGATTAACACGGGCATATTTTTAAGAAAAAGAGACTGCTCACTCAGTTTTAGGTTTTAATGTCTTAAATTGCCTGAATTTAACGTTTGTGAGCGCAACTGTCTCTTTGAGTGGGTACAACAGCAACACACACATTTAAAAGTCAATTTATTACAGGTTGATTGCAGATAATTTCTGATTGGATAGAAGTTGAAAACAGTAAAATAACACTGCTTTTTCCCCAGGTCTATTGCTGTTAATGCTTCAGGTTCTGTCAATATTAAAAGTAATTATAAATATTTATAAAATCATCACTCATATTTTTATGAGTGATGTGATCACAATCAAAGCGCAAATTGTACCTAGACATTTTAAACTATCCTATGGTTATGCAAAGACGGCAAGCTGCTGGTATGGTTTTTTAATTCAAATAACCTTTTTTTTTTATCAAAGATTATATGCACAAACAAGGAATTTGACTTTGACTTTCAAGTGCTCATAGTGTACAGACGCTGAGCACAATAATAAGCTTTCAAAATAACAATGACTGCTTTCAGGAGGGGAAAACGGCATGTGTCTGCAGAGGTGATCTTCAAATCAGACGTAAATATTCGAAAGTGGCTCAAAGCTACTCAAAAGATGTGCAATACCTATAAACTTCTTTAAAAGAGAAACCCTTGAGACAGCTGAAGAGCTGTGTTCTCCACAGGTTTTTTAACATCACACTAACTCTTGCATATGTAGATTATTTTCTTTACTCTGTAAAATCCAAAGACCTAAAATCGATCCATTAATTTTCTTTTCATTTTGCACTGCTGAAATAAACAATCACAATTGTCAAATATTTCAACATGTCAAAATAAAATAAATCTTTGGCAGCCTGGCTTACGCGGTGAACAAAATTGTGCATGCCACAATGACATGGCACAATGGCATTAGACGTGCCGTAAGGTGATGTCATTTTCTATGATGTCATGTCTTAAAGCAATTAAACTTCTAATGCAAAGCTCCAATAAGACTCATATTGAAAGTCCATTGAAAGTGTCAACTTTGCTTCGTCACCGTCAATGACACTTCACGGCAACATTCATAAACATTCATGAAGATTTCTTCGTGTTCAAGATAAGTGTTATGTCATGTTTATGATGGTGTCATGTCAGTCTTATGCACGTCCCTTCAAGTAAAGCGTCACCGGCAGGGATATTTGATTCCTCTATGAATATTTTTTCCAAAAAGAAATTGTACAAAATTGATGTTTTTTAGTACTCTGCTGCTTAAAAACTCAATGCAAGGGCTTGAAAACCTAAAACGAATTTAAGAAACAGACAGTTCTGTGCTACGAAAAACACTTTTATTAGTCCTTTAACATCTGCTGAGTTGTGTCACCCAGGGTATGATATGCACAGGCTCCACTGATGCTAAGTAGATAAACTTAAATGAGCCTCATTGAGTTGATCTCCTCATTTCGCACTAATGAAGGCCTTACAGCACTCACACTAATAAAGGGGAATAGTAAAGTATACAGAGAAGCAGGAACTCATAATAATCTCTGACCCTCAAAGAAAGTGACTAATTATAAACAGGGTAAAGAGAGAAAAAAAAAAGAAAGTAGAAGGACTAACCATTTAAGTTTTACCAGACTTAAAACGTTGGAATCACATTTTGCCTCTTACATGTGTCAAACTCAAGGCCAGAGGGCCGAATCCAGCCCTCCGTAGCTTTTTATGTGGCTCTCCAGATTCTAGACTAAACATTAAGAACGCTTAAATATTATGCTAGCAATCAAATCGATGTAGTTTTTATCTGCTTGCAGCCAAATTACATCAGCCAGTCTCTCCAGTTTCCTGAGAATTACTGAGGAAATTCATGTAAAATCATCAAATTGCTCCACTAACTGGGAATTTGTTGCAGGTTTTTCTCAAAAATTGTCAAAAACTCCGCTGGCAGCAGCATGTTGTGCTTTCTAACCACGTCATCTGACAATTATGCCTTCTAACATTATTATTGCTTGACATGGCAGCTCCCATGTTACTCTGAAAGGTCAATGGATACAATTGGGAGAGGGATAGTAAAGACATTGATAGACTTACTAACAGGTCAGAACGCTGAGACAGCAATCTGTGGCTTCAGCTGAGACTGGCTGCCTCATATGTACATGTAAAAGTCAGCTTCACTAAAAAAGACATGTTAAATGCTTGAGATTACACACATATGGACTGTTTTTACCAGATAGATGGCTTCCAATTGCTATTGACTGCCCTGGGTTTTATTTGAGGGCATCAGAGTGAAAGGTTTGCAAAACATCATATTTCGCCACCGGTCTGCACAGTTTTTTTTTTTTTTTTTTTTGAGTTAGAGATTGTCTACCCTAAAAGAGCAATATTATGCATCTTCCATTCACATATAATTATTTCATCGCACAATCAAGTAACTTTGCTACCCGCTGTTATAAAGATGCTTTACTTAACAAATATCACTTAAAAGAAATTTGATTTTGTAATTTAATGTCTCCAAATTGGATTTCTGTCTTCCTGGAACTCCTCCTTGAGGAAGCCATGAGAACATCGTTTTTATCAGCGTTGAACTGAGAAGTGGGTTCTATAATGAGCTCAGCAGATGTGTTGTTCGACCAGGCGTTTGCTAATTGCTGCTGGCTAGTCTGAAGGAGCAGAGTGAAGGAGTCAAAGGACAGGGCTGCTCTGTGAGGCGGAAGCATGGAAGCTCGAAAACTGCAGCTCTGAGAGGGAGCGGAGTCTCAAAGGTGGCGCTCGGTCCACCCAGGCGTTTTCCACAACTGAATGGTTTCCACGGGAGATTAAAACATCTCTTAAATGTACATGAAAGAATCAAGGCGACACACCAGGTAAGTTTTCGATGAGGGAATAACGCTATAACATGATGTAAATCTCAAACAAGGAAATTTGACACAATTCTGCCCCTTTGACTTTGTTATATGCTGGGAGACATGGTAGATCAGACTTTCTCCTTCATGTAACCAGACAAACCAGTTCGTCTTTTCATTATTTTTCTGGTACTGCAGTTTTACCGTTCTTGCTGAATACTGGCTGATATTATCTTAGGCTCATTAGAGGGTGGTAGAAAAAAAAATAAAAAATCCTCACAGAGATCAAATAATCTTCAGCCAGTTTTGAGACAGTGGGTGTTTTGTGGTGTTTTGTGGTTTTGAGTTGAGGCTTTGTCAGTGTTTTATCTGTGTGCGTTCAGAGTGGAATATTTCATTCAATGCTGCTTGGAGACAGGAGCACTGTCTTTTTTTTTTTTTTTCCTTGATGGTATCTCTTGTTGAGTTGCATTTTTATTACTCTTTATTTTAGCTTTCCAAAGTGACCCCCTCATTTTCATCCATGAGCAATCAAGATTAACACCTCGTTAGCCCTCTAATATGTCAGAGATGATTTCAAGGAACACGCTCATCTGTTTTCTCTCCAATTATGAGAGAGAAAACAGATGAAGAGCAACACAGTATTTCAAATGTCAAGATGTAGCCAGGAAGTTCCGTTAAAAAGCTACGAGTAAGGAGGAGAAGAAGAGTCTGGTTATTTCAGTATTTTGCACTGGTTAAATTCATTGCTTAGTTTGTTTTTTTTTTTTTTATCTTTTGGCAGGAAATGTCAGTTATGCAGAGCTTATTCTTTTTATAAATGTATTATTTACCAATCTGGCATGACACAACAAACACAATAAAAAAAGACAAATACAACCAGCCTTTTGAATCAACATCCATCGTGAATCTTTTTTTTTTTTTTTTAAATGAGACGCAGCAGAAGCAACGGAAAAACCAGTGTGTCATTTAGGTAAAAAAAAAAAAAAAAAAGCATGGAAATTTTTAGATTACTTTCTTATTTGCATGTTTCAGGAGAAAGCGCCATTAGAGCTGGGACATTCGACTTCTGAGTGTGTTTCTGTTGTAATTTTAATGAGATTTATGTGTCGGGAGTTTGGAATCCGGGTCAATGCCTCGGCCTCTTGTTTATAGTTCTGCTCCCAAAGGATCTCGCTGTTGGCCGGTCAGATTGTGCAACGTCCTGCTGCAGGAAGTCAGAATAGAAATATCTGTTATTGTCCCCCAGTGGAGGCTGGGGTGCAAGTCATTTTACCATGTGAATACATTGGTGGTACATATCACAGTAACTTAGAACTCATGACAGATTGTGACGCATTGCTACAAGTGCTTGGTCCAAGGGTAGCTTAAAAGGGATTTAGTCCATGAACTGAATGCATAAATATATATATTTAATTAGAAAGGCCCTGGAGAGGGTAACCAAAGCAGTCAGTGTGCATCCTCCTGTGTCAGACTGGGACTGCTAAACGCCGCCAGGCCAGAGGTGCTTTTGAAGCATCCCTCACACTCCAGTAAACTCTGTTTTCCACTTGCTGATCTCAGGCAAATGATTTCAGAGCCTGATGACCAAACCTGAGAGAACCATGAAGACTTTCTCTGCAAAGAGAAAAAAAACCCTCAATCACCATCAAAACTTTTAACCACCTTGGAATATGTGATTTTGTGTACTATTTATGTTGTTTTTTTTCCCCCAATTGTGTCACATTATATTAAATATTACATGTATATCCTTGTTTTTCCCAATGCTTTTTCTGAAACTGTATATTTCTCTCTTGTAATAATGCATTTTTCTCTTAGAATTATGCATTTTCCACATAATTTTAGACAGCCAACGTTGTTTGTCATAAAATTCACGTCAAAAAATATAACTTTAAAAAGCAACATGTGTGTGCAATCAGGTTCTCCTCTGTCCCTTTCTTGTCATTTTGGGTTGGATTTTCACACTAGCAGCTCATGTCCTCATGAGAGTCATTTTTAATTACCTGGCTCAGACAGTGTCTGACATAACATAACAGTGTTGTCTGAGGAATCTGATGAGGGTGCATTCTTCAGCTATT